AATCGTAAGATTATTCCGAGTCGTTATCAAAAAAATAATCAAATAACTGCTTTCGAAAATAACTCGACATGTTGTGAAACTCAAATTTTTTAATGTCAAAATTTCTCAAAATTAGATACTGAGCAGAAAGAGCTTTGTAATTCTGAGGTGGCGAATTATTGTTTGTTTTTCTCTACCCCGATCTTACAGCTGCAACACTTGACATATCACCCTCTGTCTGATGCGGGTGGTGTCGGTAGCCTAGTGGTTAGGCTACCGGACTCGTAATCGTGAGATTGCGGGTTCGGGGGTTCGAGCCTCAGCTCGGTCCGACGTTGTGTCCTTGGGAAAGGCACTTAACACGAACTTCCCTCTTGGCTCGGTCCAATCGGAGACGGACGTTAAACTAGGAGGTCCTGCCTCTTACATAACCTAATAGTGTTGATAGGGGCGTTAAACTCATATCATTTCACCATTTTTTTTTCACCTCTGTCTGATGATCCCTGACTGTAGTGGAAAGAACATTTATCAAACACTTTTGCTACTCTTTCATTTCTTTAGAAGTAAAATGCTGGAGGTGATCACGTTTAGACCAGCAGTTCAATCAAACACATACAAAAGGATCTATACATTTCCCACCACGGTGGCTTATCCTTGTTGTCCAAAGTGGAGAGGCGCGTGACGGTTGGTGATGGAGCTGCGAGAACGTCCGCTTTCTCACTGTGATTGTGTCTTTCTTTTCCACTGTGATTGTGTCTTTCTCTTCCACTGTGATTGTGTCTTTCTTTTCCACTGTGTTTTGTGTCTTTCTTTTTCACTGTGTTTTGTGTCTTTCTTTTTAACTGTGTTTGTGTCTTACTTTTCCTCAGTACCTTTCTTTCCCTTCGATTTCTTATCCACGGAAACAGAGGAGAAACATAGAGAGAGAGAAAGAGGGAGAGAGAGAGAGAGAGAGAGAGAGAGAGAGAGAGAGAGAGAGAGAGAGAGAATAATCTAATAATCTTACGGTCTCGATAGAGAACAAGAACACTAAATAGGTTTCTGACCTTATGGTCTTGTCACTCAAAACGGCCAAAAATGTCAGATAGGACCTTGTCAATCAAAGGAAGCGCAGAACCACGTAATAGATGTTTGAATATTTCACAAGAGTCGGAGGTACGTCTGGACAAACCCATCACGTGACACAATGAGAGTAATGTCCGGCACAGCGGTCACTCGACTGGTCACTTTGGGCGAAGGAAAGTAAGGTGCCCGAAAGTAAGGGG